TCACAGGCGGCGTGCTCGTTTCGCCGCCAAAGAAAGTACACCCTAGAAACCCAACTGCCTCCATTTCCGGCCCGTAAACCTATACCGAGCAACTCTCACCGAAGACTTAATGGGCGTCCAACTGATCTATCGTGACTCGATCGTGACCTCAAAAGTCGTTCGATAATTCTAATCACGATCAATTTATTGTTAACCAGATCATTCGAGTAATTCGATGCATACATAATAGGTTCTTCGCCAATAGATACAGAACATACATTTTATTATCGATGTCCTACACATTGGGACACATTTTTGTATAAAATAAAACTAATTGATTTAATCATTAGTAGATACAACACTCCAAACACGATTGGTGCCATCAACGAGTTATATAAACAGATAAATACTTATCATTAAAAATTTTTATAATAGTAATATCATATTCAAAGTACGGGTATAAATAAAAATCGAACGGAATGTTAAGTGAAATAACGTGGGAAGAGCAAGATAGAAACGCTAAGGAAAAGTCTTATCATCGATCTTGTATCTGAAGAAAATATTACATTTGTTTATCAAAATGTGTTAAAATAATGTTGTACATAGGACAAGATGGAATTGTGTTTACTACTTATTGTTCAAATGTAATGAAATGAGTGTAACTATAAGTTTGTGAAAATGTCCCCATCATCTAATATTATTTACTAATAGTTGAGTAATTAAATAATTAAAAAGTGTCTAACTGATAATTAGACTGCAGATTTTTTGGCGAAAAATCAAGATACAAAGATATGCAAAAATAGATAAAATATCTAAAGTAGAATATTTATTGCAATAGTAATTGAAACAAATTTCTACTTACATTCCATTTCTTTAGTTGCGTTCACAGATATAAAATATAAAGATTCATTAAAATCCTCAATCTGCTGATAATATTCAAAAAATAATGTGATTGAGAATCGTTGTTTAAAACATGTAAAAGGACAAAATCATGAGAATCAGAAATATACGGGTAAACGCATTAAATTGTTTTATCTCGCGCCCTTATCTTGGCCTTTCGAACCACATTATATTTTTCACTAAAGTTTCAGAGAAATATAAAGAAGTACCAAGACTACTACTCCTAATCTAGTTAATGAAAGGAAGAATTAGCAAGTTTACAAAATTTGATCAGCGTAATTGATAAAGTTAGTTACATATGGAGATGTGTAGAATAAAGAACATCTTCTAATTGTGTAAGAGTCTTAGATGGATTATAAAACCTTATAAAATCGAGAAAGAATATATTATGCACGTTATGTAAACTTTCTTGATTTTTCATTAAATTTTTTGACCTGAATATGTTGGTAAAATTTGAAATTAATGCAAAAATCTAAATAGATGTCACAAGATATTTATTTTAAATATTTAAGCGATATTAACATTCAGTTTACACATGCAAGGCGTGAAACAATTTTACATGGAAAAATAAACTGAGAAGGGAAGAATAAGGTTTTTTTAATTTGGCGCTTTGGTTTCGAGGAAATCGAGTTTGAAGTGATAAATTCATTAAACGAGTGCAACGGTACAAATGTTGGATCGGTCAAAATGGGATAATAGCTTCGCCCCTAAGGTTATTAGACCTCATTCTTCCAGATTTTTATCTACGAAATCACATTAAAGAAACAGTGTATTCTAAAGATAATGAAACTCATCTTCAATTAAAAGATATTATCGTTCAGGATGAAAGAATTCAAACACGTTAATATCAGTTTATGCTTTCTTAATTCAGAAAAATGTGTCAACGACGTCGAGGGAGGAATTTTCAGCAATTTGTAATTAATCAAAATATATGATACTGAAACTAATTGCATTCATTACCTAACTGATATAATTATACCAAGCTATATTATTATATCAGTTATACCAATTCATTGTTTATAAACATAAACGAAACGTCATAAAATTTCATTCCTTTATTTTGATCTATTTTTACGTGCATAATCTTTTTCTAACCGATTTTATTAGAATTTAGGGAACACCTCATATAATAACTAAAACTAAAGATAGTCCCACTGAATATTTAATGCATAATTATATACATAATATATATTATAGCGTATTAATGTATCATTAATAAGATTTCAGTTTACCATAATCTTATAGTTTCTATAATATTTATGAAGATCTTTAAGCTTCTATATTGCTTCTATTATTTATGACTAAATGCTTCTATTAATTTATGACCAAATGAAAGTTTATAATGACATATAAAATTTAAGATGATAGAGTGTATTCCAGAATGTGATCTAGTATTAGGTTGCGTCGACCGAGAAAAAACGATATGATTGCGTTCATATCACATTGAATGAAATAATCTAAATTTTGAAAAACTTAAGTCTAAATTCTTCAGAGAACAATTTTTTAAATTATCTAACCAATAAACGAACTTTTCTGACTGCTCTTATATCTAAATTTTAACTTGAAACTTGCTGAAATTAATTTAAGCTTGCTTATGTTAAATTATTATTTGATCTTCTTATCAAACTTTTAATTATATAGAATTTAATTGAGAAACGAAAATAGGTAATTTTTTAGCCTTTCTTTCATGTAACGTAAGTGATTTCTACACGTGTTTTGTGAGTCAGTGTACCTCATGATACTTTTAATATCTATAGATATATCGTTACCTGATCAGGTCCAAAAATATATATAGATGAATAAAATATGTTATAATGAAATACATTTAAAAACATATTTATATGTCAGGTTATTTTTGTACTCACCAAGCGTGTTTATTTAGACTTTCCTTTGTTATTTATATTTATAGCTTCGATTTCGCAAAAGTTCTTTCATGGTTTAGAGTTAGACTGGTTTGTCAACTCGTGCACGATAAATAAGTTGTATCTCGGAAAGGCAATGATGTTATGTTGTGGCGCAATGCAGGTACAAAGTCTATCAAAGAACCGTGTGACCGAGTTACTTACACGATTATACCGCTAAACGTGCTAGATTTCTACAAATACAGAACAGGTGTAATCGTCTTCAAAGGCGAATGGCCATTACATTTTCCGTAAGTCGTGGTCTCACACGATGAAAAAGGGCAACGGTCACAATGGTACGACTTATGTAGATACCACTACTTCGCGTTTCACACAGGAAACTAGTCAACTCACTTTCCGCGAGTGACCCGAATTTCATTCTACTTCTCGTTTTAGTGCACTTCGTGCACTTTTACCGTTTTACTT